ATATCCATGATGATGGAAGTTTGAGTTACAAAGAAAGATGGTGTATACCGGAAAAGTGTGAGGATTTAAAGAGAAAAATCATGGAAGAAAGCCACAATACTCCATATTCAGTGCACCTAGGAGGGGATAAGTTGTATAAGGACTTGAAAATGTTATATTAGTGGCCAAATATGAAAAGAGAAGTAGCTGAAGTTGTGAGTAAATGCTTGACTTGTCAAAAGGTCAAGATTGATCACAAGAGACCTATGGGAAAGGTTCAACCTTTGGATATTCTATGTTGGAAATGGGATTCGAGATCCATGGATTTTTGTCATAGGATTTCCTAGAACCAAAAGTGGCAATGACACTATTTGGGTGATTATAGATAGACTTACAAAGTCTGCGATATTTATTCCAATAAAGGAAAATTGGAAGAAGAAACAATTGGCAAAGGTCTATGTGAAGAATGTAGTTCGACTACATGGAGTGCCTAAGGACCATAATCTCTGATCGAGATTCAAGGTTCTTGTCCAAATTTTGGCAAAAGGTTCAAGCCAACTTGGGAACAACACTGAAAATGAGTACTGCGTTCCATCCAGCAACGGATGGACAGACTGAAAGGACCAATCAAACCATGGAGGATATGCTAAGGGTGTGTGCCTTGGATTTTCAAGGTACTTGGGAGTTGGGAGGATCAATTGGATTTGATTGAATTTTCTTACAATAATAGATACCATACTAGCATTGGCATGACACCTTTCGAAGCATTATATGGTCGAAAGTGTAGAAGTCTTGTATATGTTGGAATGACTACAGTGAGAATCTTGTTTTAGGAACATAGTATATTGAGGAAATGGTGAACAAAGTGAAGTTGATTCGTTCAAGAATCCAGGCTGCACAATATAGACAGAAAAGTTATGCCTATTTGAAAAGGAGAGATGATGAGTTCAATGTGGGTGATAAAGTATTTTTGAAAGTCACGCCAACAAAAGGAGTGATGAGATTTGGAAAGAATGGCAAATTGAATGCCAAGTATGTAGGTCCTTATGAAATTTTGGAACGTGTAGGCAAAGTTGCTTACAAATTGGCATTACCTATGGAATATGATAAAATGCATGATGTGTTTCATATCTTTCAATTGAAAAAGTATGTTCCTGATTCTAAGCACGTGCTACAACCTGAATCGATTCAGTTGGATGAGACTTTAACTTTTGAGGAAAAGCCTGTGAAAATTTTGGATCATAAGGCGCTTAGTACACACAATAAGGATGTGAAAATTGTTAAAGTTCTTTGGTCAAACCAAGAGTATAAGGAGGCTACTTGGGATCCGGAGGCCGAGGACGACATGAGGAAGAGATAACCTGAGTTATTTAATGAGGTGAGTTACAAGGGCGTAACTCTTGTTCTTTAAGGGGGGTTAGAATGCGTATAATTTCACGCTTTTTGCCCTATTTTATGCTATTTTGTGATGTTTTTATGCTTTTCATATCTATTTTATTGTTTACGTATCTAGTGAAGTGCGTAAATTGGGATGGCGATAAGATATTAGTGTCAATATTATGACACAATTAAATTCCAACATGATAATTTTGAAAATTTTGAAATGGTTTATGCAAACATCTTGCACTTTTAAGGATTTTGTGCTAAGTTTCGGGAAAAAACTTCTTTAAAGATGGGGTAGATTGTAATCCCCCATATTTTTAAACATATTATAAATGAAACTATATTTTATTAATAATATTTATTTGTATCTTCCGCGATTTAATTTCAAAAGTTTCAAATTATTTTTGGGTTGATAAATGATTTTATTACAAAGAACTTTTCATGAACTTATTTTCTATAATTATGTCCAACAAACAAAGCCTAACCCAATTTACTTAATTAATTGGCCCATAATTAATTTTATAATGCCTAATATTCCTAATTAACCTAGAATTCTCTCTCCTATAAATAGCCCATACATCCCCAAAAAATTCCCAACACAAAAAGGTTAGCATTTTTTTTCCATTCTTTTCTTTTTTTCATTTCTTTTTTTTTCCTTTCCTCCTTTCATACGTGAGCTATGCTCACTGCTTCCCATTGGTGCCGCCTGCTGCCCACTACTGCCGGTCACCGCCCAGACCGCTGACAACCATAAGCCAGCCTAGCCGTGGCTACTACTTCTTCTTCCCCTTTTGTTTTTTTTTTTTAATTTACATAATTATAAATGTATTAGTTTGTGGTTTTAATGTTATAGTATAAAGATTATATTTTTAGTATCAAATTATATTTTGATGATATAATGATTATAAATTTCAGATTTTAATTGTTGTTATACTTTGATTTTATAATTTTACAACCTAGGGTTTTAATTTATTTAAATTGGGATTTTAGGGTTTTAATAATCAATTCATTTGCGCCTTTTGTTCCTATTAAATTTCTAGTGATTAATTGAGCATAAAAACATGTTTTAAAGGAAGTTTTAAGGAGTTTTAATTAAAGTTATATTGCTGGAAATGTAGATAGGGAAGTAGGGTCGAATCCACAGAGAAACGAGTCTTTCTACTTCAAATTAACTAATATAATCTAGGTTATGAAGTAACCAATATATATATATATATATATATATATATATATATATATATATATATATATATATATATATATATATATATATATATATAAACAATAAACTAAACTACGGAGATCAAGAACAAGGAGAAAATAATATATAAAAGGATCAAGGGCATAGGTTCACCAATAAATAATATTCCAGGGTTGAATATAATAATCATTCATCAATGCATATATTAATCAGATTATAAAGGGCTTTCGCTACGTATTATAATCACACAATTAATTTGCTGGTATTAAATCTCATCTTTCGAATCTCGACCTAACCATTTATAAATTAACCTGCCCATTGAAACTAGACCTAAACATCAATTCTCATCCGTCTAATCTCGAATCAATATTGTCAAACTCATGCATAAAAGATCAAGCCTAATCTAGTCATGGGTCTGGCTCTTTGAGGGTTTGAAAAGCTGACTCACAACTCTCGTTCCACTCAAACTTGCTCTGCTTCTTCATAAGAGTAGTCATGGGTCTGGCTATCCTCGAAAAATCCATGACAAACCTTCTATAATATCCACCTAATCCCAAGAAACTACGAACATCAGTCACATTCTTAGGTGTAGGCCACTCACTCACCGCCTTGATCTTCGCAGGATCTACGGATACACCCTTCTTCGAAATGTACTGCCCCAAAAATGCCACTTTCTCCAACCAGAACTCACACTTGGAAAACTTAGCATACAGTTTGTTCTTTCAAAGAGTTTCAAGGCTAGTTCTCAAGTGCTCAGCATGTTCTTCCTCATTCTTCGAATACACCAAAATGTCATCAATAAACACAACTACAAACTTATCCAAATACTCATGAAACACTTGGTTCATCAAGTCCATAAATATGGCTGGTGCATTGGTTAACCCTAAAGGCATGACTGTAAACTCGTAATGTCCATATCGAGTTCTAAAGGCTGTTTTTGGAATGTCTTTATCTGTAAGCTTCAACTGATGGTACCCCAACCTCAGGTCAATCTTCGAAAACACGCTTGCCCCCTTCAGTTGGTCAAACAAGTCATCTATCCTAGGTAGAGGGTACTTATTCTTTACATCCACATTATTCAACTCTCTATAATCAATACATAGCCTTAAACTTCCATCCTTCTTTTTCACAAATAGCACAGGTGCTCCCTAAGGTGATGCACTGGGCCTAATGGACCCCTTGCCTAACAACTCCTGCAATTGAGCCTTTAGTTCACTCATCTCAGCCGGTGCCATTCTATACGGTGCTTTGGAGATAGGTGCAGCTCCTGGAACTAAGTTAATGGTAAACTCAACTTCCCTCTTAGGTGGCATTCCCGAAATCTCTTCTGGAAAGACATCTAAAAACTCATTCACAATGGGCACATTCTCCATCCGCCTATTCTCACTCATACTCAAATCTTGAACACAACAAAAGTACAATGGACATCCCTTATTCACTAGCTTCTTCACCTTCTCGCAGAAATGATCCCTAAACCTTTAGGCTTCCTTAACCGTCTATAGGACACTTTCTTAGCCTTGTATAAACTCAGCCAATCCATCCCCAAAATTACATCTAAGTCCCCTAGGTTAAACTCAATAAGATCTGATGGAAAGATAGCTTCTCCTATTTTCAAAGGCAAGCCTTTGAATATTTTATTACAATGAACAAATTTTCCCGTAGGCAGACTGACTGACACATCAACATGACTCGATTCAGTTAAGTTTAACTTGCGCACAACAGAAGTAGAAATGAAAGAATAAGTTGCTCCAGAGTCAAATAGAGTGTTGACAGAGATAGATTGGATAGAAAAAGTACCGGTAACTACATCCGAGGACCTCTCAGCTTCTCCCTTGCTCATCACAGACAAGCGGCCGGGAGTGTTGTTTCTTGCCTGATACCCATTGTTGTTGTTGCCTGAGTTGTTGTTGTTGCCATTGCCAAACCTGTTGTTATTGTTGCTACCATTCCCAAACTTCCCATTTTGACCATTTCCCCTATTCCCTTGGTTATTGAAATTGTTAGGCCTCTGCTAAGTGTTCCCACCATTCCCACTATTTCCCTGTTGTCTCTGTTTGGCGTAACACTCATACTCCCTGTGTCCCTTCTTGTTGCAGAACCTGCAGGTCACCAAATTCCCATCATAGTCTCTCCCAGGGTGGTTCCTTCTACACTTCTTACAGTGGTAGGTTTTCTCCCCATTGTTAGCATTGGAAGAACTGCTAACATTTTGGTTACCCCTATCAAACGAGTTCCCATTCCTAGACCTCTTGAAATTACCCTAGTTCTTAGATTTCCCAAAATTCTTCCTTTTCTCCCCAGCCTAAGCACTCGCACTAGTAGTCCTAGTATTCAGATGGTACAAATGGACAGCTCTCTCATACACCTTGTCAAGGGTTTTGAAAACTTTTCCGGCTAGGTCCTTCTGTAACTCGTCAGTCAACCCCTGCTCAAACCTCTAAGCCTTCAGCTCTTCAGTTGATACTACCTCTGGAGCAAACCTAGAAAGGGTCATAAACTTATTATAGTACTCAGAGATTGACATGTCTCCCATTGCAAGGCTTATGAACTCCTGAGCCTTCTGTTTCTTCAGGAATGGGGGGTAAAACTTGTCCCTCAAGGAGGTCTTAAACACTTCCCACCCAAAGTTAGGTTTGGCCCTAACGGTCACAACATTGTCTCTCCACCATATATCAGCCTCGTCCTTAAGGTACATAGAGGCCTGGTCCACTTTCATACCCTCAGGATAGTTGAGTGCCACAAACAACTTATCAGACTCTCGAATCCAGTTTTCTAGGAAAGTAGGGTCAGCACCTCCCCTAAAAACTGGTGGTCTAACCTGGGCCAGCTTCTTAAACATTTCAGCTTGGGGGTCGACTTGGTCTCCCCGGTTTTGGATCATATTTTCAGCCAACAAATGAATAGCATCAGCTAAGGCAGCGTTCTCAGCCATTCTAGCTCTACGCCTTTAATAAAATAATTATGTGTAGGGAATAGTTTCAAGCCTTTAAAATCCCACTAGCTTGAACCCCACTGTGATCATACACTAAAGTACGGTGGCGTCCAAAAGGGAAGAAGATAGAGCAAAAGAGTCGCTAACAAGTTTTTAAGGAACTTGTAAACCGTTCACGAGGTGAAGATTACACCCCTTAACGATCCAAGAGATCGTCAACTCCATAAGGTCATGAACCAAATAAGGGTTCGGGGATGATGGTACAAATCCAACCTAAAAGAGATTGAACCTGCCCTAATAATAGGCCTCTACTTTATTCTGCTCGTATTCATGTGCACTTTCTGATTAACATACAATCAATAGGATTAACCCTAAACCTGTTTAATCTATGCTGGTTGAATTTAATGCACAAATAAACTATTATTGGCGATCACTTGAAATTAAATCACAATTAACCTAATAAGATTATTAATTATCTTATCAAGCGTGATTGCAAATACCAATTCCCTTTAACCTGCAATAAAAGGTGATCAAGCAATAACAATATATAATATATATCAAGCAACATAATAAATAATCATCATCAATAATAATCATAAATGTTATATAGAACATAGGAAGCATCATACTTATAATCATGCTTAATATTAAAAATACCCTAGACATGATACTAAGAATCATCAAAATAACAATCTAAGCATGATGTCTACATCATAAAATCAATTAAACCATTAAAGTACTTACTTGGATGCCTCGTACCTCTTTCTAATTACAAAATACACACGTTAGTAACTTCAAGGAAAGTAATAAACAAAGCAATTAAATTAAATAATTGAAATAGAGATTTGGGACCAAACCCTCAGAAATTAAAACCTTTCACGTCTAGGGCGAAGGCAACTTCGAATATGGCTAGGTATTTCTAGATCTTGTGAATGCGGAATTTTGTGTTAAAGAATAAAGTTTAGAAAGAATGAATGAAAGATTAATGATTCATAAACTAATTTGTTGACGATTGAAGATTGTAGATGATGAATGAAAACGGAATTTATGAAAACTTAAGAATAAAAGAAGTGGTGAATGATAGATGATAATCCGTCCATGAAAACGGAGTTTTTGATATGATATTTATAGAGAAAATCAGCCAAAAAAGATAATTTATCAAAACAGAGTCTGAAGATCGCAAAAACAACTTGGCGCCAGCCCTGGCTCATTGGCGCCAGGACCAGTGTCTAGCGTCTGGCGCTAATATATCGTTGGAAAGGTCTTTGCAAGCCCCATCTAACTATACCACTATTGGACCCATATCATGGACCAACCAAACTGGATTGGCTGTTTTCTTAAAATAAAGTTTTCAAAAACAGAGAGAAGAAAAGAAAAGAAAAGAAATAAAACTTCCCGCAACACTAGACCTTTTCACACTTTCGTTTCATTCGATTATGATTTGGCGTGAAAGGCACTCATCACTGGGTTTGGTTTTGGGGAGACACAAATGGATGTCTACAGAAGCCCCCACTTTGACTGAGTTTGGAGAAACGGAAGTTTCAAAAACGAAAGTCAAAGTATCGATAGGGACGGAGAATGATTCAGAACGTTCTGCAATCCTAAATCACTCTTGTAACGCCAATACCTGCAAAACTAACGTTAGTTAAACATATATAAGAGTTAAGAAACGCGTATCTTGCACCGTCAAGCACACGCCTCTGAAAGTAACCGATTGCTTTGATGACCTCCTGCAAGCTAGAGAATGTCATCCCGCTTGAAAACCGCTACGCCTTGTAACTGATTCCAAATTAGAAGATTGCTTCGCTTGAAACTATCCTCTCCGCCGTGATAATATTCCACGTCTAAGGGAATACCATCGAAAATTATTTCTCTTGAAATAACTCTCATCCGCATTATGATCACGTTCCATGCATCAGGAACTATGATCGAAGACAATTTAGCCCTAAATTACCTTCAGTTGTTTGTGACAACTTTCCGCAAGCTAGGGAATGATGCCGAAGACATCTTCTCTTGAAGTCATCCTCATTTGATGCGATAATCTCCCAAAAGAAAATACCGAAGATCCACGCCCGTCGATCTTTAAAAGTTCGCCTGAACTTTGCTCTTTTGCTATTCCTGTACGTCGGTGCTATTTGCTCTTTAACCTATATGTCGGTGCCCTTTTTTTAATGAACCTGTATGTCGGTGCCTTTTGCTAATGAACCTGTATGTCGGTGCCTTTTGCTAATGAACCTGTATGTCGGTGCCTTTTGCTAATGAGCCAATGCTTAGGCGCTTTAAGCTTAGTGAGACGATCTTTTCATCAGGTCGATCACTTCATGTAATCAAGCCGATTACCTAATCATGTCAAATTGCTCAGAGGAGCTAACTGGCGTACCAAGGAACCCAAAATATATTGCAGAAGGCTAGCACTACCCCAAAAGGTGGCTGGCTGCTTTGGCGTCGCTGAAAATCGATCAGAGCCAAACATATAGCATTAGTGCCATGCGCTGAAATTGGCGTCTGGCGCTAAGCACAGAATGTGACGCCAATGCCTAGGGACTGGTGCCAGCACGGGAATCACTTTAAATTCTCGTTGTCAGTTCATTTCGTGCTCTGGTTTGTTGCGAACGCTGCTCGAAAGAAGACGAAACTTCAATTGATCGTTGCTCAATCATTTCTCAACCGAATTTGCTCAAATTTGTTGCAAAGAAAAGATCTTTTCATCCATATTCCCGATCTATGTAAGTTTCCTTCCAACTCACACCGGTTTTTATGAATTATTGGCATGTTCATTCACGAATTTCATGAAAATTCGAAACTTATAATGCTCAATTTTCTTTATTTATCAAACTTCATACCATGAAATTGCTTGTTTATGTTTGTATATTGCCTTAGGAGTAATTTGAGATTTTTTTGACTCAATTTGGCGAAGAAATGAGCAATCCGCCATTGTTGGACCTCCTAAGGTCGTGAAAAAACAATGTGGCTCGTTCTTGATGTTTTTGCTAGAAATTCTTGTTCAATTTGTCACAATAATCACTATAGTGTTGCAAGAAATTGTGTTGATTGCTTGAAAAATGCTTATCATGCTCAATTCAAATTTGTGCTCTGTTTTAGTACTACGTACTCTATTTTTGCGAACATAGTATCATGCGGCTAGGCAAACCTTTAGATACTATAGAACCTTGATTTATGATGATTCTGCACAATGTAGCATGGCTAGACAACGAGGCTCCGGTTCACGGTCCCGAAACACCAGACGGGAGCATGAGCCCGTGGAGGACGACACTACACCGTCCACTTCGCTTGGTCAGTTCCCAGAGTGGGATGAGCGGACCTTGTTCTTTGCCCCTGTCCACCATATTTCTTAGAGGGTGAGACAGGGAACCGAGCCTGGAAGGACACGGCATCACGGCTCTGGCTACGATGGCCTAGGCGATTTGTACAGGATGCATATCGCCATAGATCGAGAGACGAGACTCCTATGGGAGTCTTGCGGACTGGTTGCCCTGGTTGAGACCTCCGAGGCTATGGTTGCCTCAAACGGGGGTCACCACGTAGCACGCGCTCTGGTGGAGTTCTTTTGCGACACCACCAACACCTTTCATTTTCCATGGGGTGAGATGATGGTCACTCCTACAGACTTCAGTCTCATCACAGGACTGGAGTTCTATTTTGTGCCGCTGCCATTCGACGGCGGTATCGACATCTTTTCTCCAGAGGTCGAGGAACTACTGGGGTCGATTGTTGTTCGGGCTCGAGCTGAGGTCGAGACGACTCAGTTCTGTGCTAAAGGGATTCGCCGCTCGACGCTGGCAGCGGCTCTTGATGACGATGCGACCACTCGAGAGCAGCGGGTGCGCATCTTTGTGCTGATGTTATTGTCAGGGACATTCTCCCCTGATAGGGGTAGTAGGGCATTACTTTACTATCTCCCTGCTGTTCGCGATCTCTGGCAGATCGAGACTTATGACTGGGCCAGCTTGGCCTATACTGACTTTGTTCGCGCACTGAGGGACTCGTGTCGCCACCGGTCTCTTAGGACGAATGTCGCTTTGTCTGCTTTCTGGAAAGTTGTAGAGGTAAACATTATTCCCTATAAAGTTTAGCCTTATATGTTTAGGCAGCATTTACTCATGATTTAGCCTTTTGTAGATCTGGTTCTATGAATAGTTTCCTTCCATTGCGCCGGCGAGACCATCGCCGAGGGGGTATCCGGTGAGCGCCTCTTGGGGCGGCCACCATGTGGACCTGTCTACTGCACGCGTCCGGAGTCGGATCATCTCGGTACGATTTTTGGCGCTTATCTTGCTCTTCTGCGACGTTTAAACATGTTCTTACCCGATTTGTATTTTTATAGGGATCTAAGGTAGTATACCGGCCATGGGGTGGTTGGACAGTCCCTGGATTAGCTGCACAGTACTCTGCTGAGCCCCGTTACTTTCTGGGGACCTACGGAGCGGTTGCGTATTTAGGAGAGAGAGTTGCTAGACAACACTCTTCCGATGCCTTTGTCGTTCCTGCTCCTCCACCACGCCACATGTTAAACGAGAGGGAGTTGTCGAGCATGGCTGAGGAGCCTGGTTCTCTTTGGCGGTCCCATGTGATCTTTGGGCGGAGTTATGCTGAGGGGCTACTTCCTTTGTTAGCTCCAGCCCCCGTGCCGGCCGAGGATATGAGGGTAAGATTCTTAGCTTTTTGTTTTTCGCTGAGTAGCCCCCAAGTAACACCTTATTGATTTCTTTTCTGTTTTATCAGGATGGTCCCACTCAGTTTGTGCCACCCCGTATGTCCATCCACTACCAGGGGATGTACGGGCCGATCGAGGAGATGATTTCTCCAGCTCCTGAGGGCGAGCGCTTCGTGGAGCGGTCGATTCCTCGTCACCAGACCAGAGTAAGTCTAGCTCTAATTCAGAATCTTGTATTCAGTTATCATGCATTTTTACTGACTTAACTTTCCTTGACAGTTCTCACGCAAGGTGGTTTCGGCTATGGCACGATGCATAGATGTCT